AAAAATTGCTCCCAAATACTTAAATTCCTCTGTTTGTCTCAAGGTGTTATTTTTTAATTTAATTTCTAAATTGTCTTTATGTCTTTCTATCATCATTGTCTCTGTCTTCGTAGTGTTTACTTTCATATTATATTCCTCCCCGTTGTTACTAATTTGATTTAGGTGGTTCTGTAGGTATTCCGTATTTTCTGCTATGAGTACTTGGTCGTCGGCGAAAAGTAATTCTGTAATATCTTCTTCATGATTAAAGTTCGTTTCGCTACATATGGTATCCATGTATGTTATGAAAAGAAGCGGCGATAGTACACAGCCCTGACGCACACCAGAGTTCACTATAAAAGTTCTTGACAACCCTGCCTTCAATACTATGCAGCATTTACTTCGTGTGTACAGGCTTTTGCAAGTATTAATCTTCTTCTTCTTCTTCGCGTTCACCAGCTGTACACTCTGGCGGAAAGTTCTGGTTGCTCGTCCACTACTGAACTGCAGTCCTGCTCCAGAACCTGAGTGTTGCGTGAGCATCAGTTTTACAGATCTCATTCTCTTGAATACAGACTTTTGGTTCCTTGCCTCTCCGGCAGATGCACTCCGAATTCAAAGGAAGCTCCCCAATTAGTCGACTCTTACGACATGCTTTTGGGGAGGCAGTGGGTCTATTCTTGTTTTCCCCACAATGGGGCCCCGGAACCCACACGGGGGTCAAATATTAATGAGATGATTGCTGATTCCTTTTTTCCCCATACATTCCCACAACATATTCCTGTCGACTCTATCGAAGGCTTTTTCGTGGTCTATAAATTAATGTCAACAAACATGTCTTATAATGTTCTATTGTCCTCTTTGATAGTTGTCTCAATGTATAAATGGCATCTGTGCAACTTCTGTTTCGTCGAAAGCCCATCTGTGCTTCTGAAAGTTGATACTCTATCAATGGTCTCAGCCTTTTTGTCGATGATCTTAGCAAACATTTTCCCAGTGTGACTGAGAAGTGATATTCCTCTGTAATTAGTACATTCCCTCTTACTTCCTTTATTTTTCCACAGCGGGGACAATGACAGCAGTCTGCCAATCTGATAGTGTTTCTTGATTTTCCCATGCCACCTAAAATATTCTCTTTAACCATATTGCTCCCGTTTCTCCTGCTGCCTTGATGGCCTCAGCTGGTAGATCATCAATACCTGTCGCCTTTAGTCTAGAGGCGGTTCGAATGACATATTTTACTTCATCCAATAATATACCTGGTTCTAGTTCCTCTGCTGTTAGTTCCGAGTTGTTGTTATGTTCTTCCCTGCTTTTATCTGTTTTATTGCAGCTAATTAATGCTTCAAAGTAATTACTCCACTTTTTGGTATGTTCTATTAAAGGTTGGCCAACTTCATCATTTATAATTTCTGTTGGGTTGTATTCTTTATTCCTGTTTCTCATGCCTTTGATTTTTTTGTAGTAGTTTTTCTCTGCTGTTCTTTCTTCTTCAACCAGCTTGCTTCCAAACTTTTCCCATGAATCTCTTTTTGCTTGTCTGATAGTTCTATTTACTACTCTTCTAATTATCCTGTATGTTATGTAATCCTCTTCTGTTCTGCTGCTCAGCCAAATGCCATAAGCTTTCTTTTTATTGCTCACAATTCTTCTTACTTCTCCAGACCACCATGTTGAGAGCTTACATCCTATGTTACCTTTCCTTTTAGTTCCACATATTTCTTGTGCTTTTTTCATAGTGGTGTCTCTGAAATTCAACCATTCTGTATTTACCCCAAGTGTGTTTTGTGAAAGTTGTTCCTAATTTTCCTGTAATTTTTGCTGAAACGCTCGCCTATTTTTCTCACACTCTAGTTCTTTCCATTTTATTATGTCACTTTTATTACATTTCTTTTTTGTTTGATAACTTATCTTGACTTTTCTGTCAAGTTTCACCATCCTATGATCTGTATCTAAACTCAAGTTTGGTATAACTCTCGCATCTGTAACTTCATGAAAGTCTCTTTTTCTCGTCAAGATGTAATCAGTTTGACTCTTGGTATCTGGATCATTCCATTTATACCATTTAAAACTTGTAAAGCTCTATGTTGAAAGAAGGTGTTGGTAATAACAAGGTCATGTTGTGCACAAATATCCAACAGTCTTTCGCCATTTTCATTTCTAATGCTGTTGTCTCCAATAATTGCCTAGGTATCTTGTAAATGTTCTTCTGTCTCGTCCTGTCTCACCCATCACGATCAGTTTCTCATTATTATCTATCTTACAAATTTCATCATCCAGGTCCTCAAAGAATTAATCTAAATCCTCCTCACTGTAATTTCCATTGCACGGAGCATATATCTGAAAAAACACCTCCAAACTATTTCCAACTTGTAATTTCAAACTTATAATTCTTTCCGAGATGTAGTTAACTTCAAGTATATTTTTTGCAGTTTCGGGATCGATGACAAATCCTACTCCCTGCTTTGCACGTTGCATTTCCTCTACTCCCGATTGTATCAAAACGTAATTTTTCTGTAGT